GTGGATAATTATTTTGGTAACCCTTCTGGTTACCTTTTCGTCGTTTTTCTCTTTTCAGCATCCTCTTATTAAGAGCGTTTGTTGAAAATACTGTTAAAAATTGTATTTCTTTCTTATCAATAAATATCTTTCAATTAAAATCATGAATAGCAACATTTTGATGATTTGATTTTTTTCTAATTAATATTTCTTTTCCTTTTAAATTATTTTTTAATTACTGATCCGGCAATTGAGTTTGTTACAGGTATGAATTGAAGAAAATAAACAGGAAAAATTACATAAGAAATAATATGTGATCTCTTCATTTGTTGAAAACTAATTACTTTTTTTATTGAATTTCATTAATTCTGTTGTATAATCTATTTCAGGTATTCCTCTTCTGCAACGAAATGGATTACATTTCATCATCAAATATATATTCTAATTTTTATATTAGATTGGTGTAGTAGGGTAGTTGGTGTATTAATGTAGTAGATTGTAAAAAACATAGAATTTATAAACGGTGTTTTTTTCTTCTTTTTATTACAAAAGATATTCTCGCTTTCGTTATTCTTATTCGTTTTCCAAACTAAAATTTCCTATATTTTCAAGACAATGCCTTAATCTTGTTATCCTTAATTTCATCGCATTAACATATACTTGATACTTGATAGTTACGGACTTTTTTCACTAGCCATCATTGGTATATCTTAATTTGTATTTTCCTCTTGCCATATATGGTTTATGTCATATCATAAATTTTTTGAAAATTATGTCGTCGGTGTGAATTTAAATAAATATGATGAATGTAAATGTGAAAAGAATAAGGGAACTGTTGCAATTCCTGAAATAAGTTTTCGAGAGAAATTCAATCATATTACGTAATACAAAGTAGAGATCATGCCCAATTATTTCTTCCGTTTTTGTCCTATCCGAACAATTCTAAGAATTACGACATTGACCAACATTGTCGAAAGATGAAATTCTATATTAACTTAATCTAGATTTTAATACTAAATCTTAAATCTATTTTATATTATACTTAAAACTAGAACTTAAATCTAAAACGCACGGATGTTATGGTGTACATCGAATATAAAAAATTATAAAGATATTAAAATCTATGTTGACTATTGTGATCCAACGTCGTTCATCGATGTCCATCAATGAAGTCTTGAATTAACTTATTCTAAATCTTAATAGTAAATCTTACTTCTATTCTAATTAGGATTAAAATTTAAACGCATGTCTTAAATTAACTTATTCTAGATCATAATACTAGATCTAGATCTTAAATTTCTCTTATATTATACTTAAAATTAGAATTTAAATCTAAACTCATGTATTAAATTAACTTATTTTAGATCTTAATATTAAATCATATGTCTACTTTATATTATACTTAAATCTAGGACTTAAATCTAAACGCATGTCTCAAATTAACTTATTTTATATCAAAAATCAAGTCTTAAATTACAATAAAAATATTAAAATCGAAATCATAATATTAAATCTTAAACCAATCTTATATTATATTTAAAACTAGAACCTAAATCTAAGATGCATACATCTTATCATTTACACCGAGCATAATAAATTATAATAAAAAAAATTAAAATCTAAGTCTTAATACTAAGTCTTAAATCTACCTTATATTACATTTAAAAGTAGAACTCTAAGATGCGCGCATCTTGTCATTTACATTAAATATAACAAATCGCAATCAAAAAATATTAAAATCTAAAGTTTAATTTTAAGTTTTAAATATATCTTATATTATATTTAAAACTAGAATTTAAATGTAAATCGCACACATTTTATTATTTACATCGAATGTAATATATTATAATGAATGTACTAACTAACTAATATCTGTATTAAAAATATTTTGATTTCATTTAAAAAAAAGATAAAGATGTTAAAAAATGAGAAAAAAGATAACGTTTTTAAAATTTTGTTAGAAATTAAAAAATAGTACAAAAACATAAAGGATGAGCCAGAATATCCTTGTACAGATTTTAGTACCTTCAGTCTAGTCCATTGATAATTAATCAAAATAATTTAAAGCAATTATATTTTAGACTAGACTGATGGTGTGCGTAGTTCTTGGCTTACCATTGCTTTTCGAAAACTATTAATGATGAAATATAATTTTAAAATATTTTGAAAAATTTCCAATGGAATATTGATAAAATATTTTCTTAAATTAAAAATATGAAAAACAATGCCAATTACCGGGTTTCACCCACGAGGAGGTGACTACGCATCGAGACCCATCTGGTTAAATTTCTTTAACAAAATAATTAATACATTAAAATCATACAATTTAATATGTAAAAATTAAATCTAGAACACATCTTAATTTATAGAATACAATAAAGTACAATAAAAATATTAAATTTTAAACCTTAATATTAAATCTTAAATCTATCTTACATTATACTTATAACTAGGACTTAAATCTAAGATGCATGCATCTTACGATTTATATCGAATATAATAAGTTATTATAATAGTAATTAAAATCTGTGTCCTATGTTGATTATCGTCATCGGTCGTCATCAAACGTTCAGCGCCATCGTCATCAAGTGCCATCGTCATCAGGCGCCGTCATCATCAGGCGCCGTCATCCAGCGTCATTGTCCAACATTATCATCAAGCATCGTCGTCATCCATCGATCATCATTCAGCGTCGTTCAGCGTCGTTTATCATCGTTCAGCGTCGTCGTCATCAGGCGCCGTCGTCCAGCGTCATCAAGTTGTCCAACGTTGTCATCAAGCATCGTCGTCATCCATCGATCAGCATCGTTCAGCGTTGTTCAGCGTCGTTCAGCGTCGTTCAGCA